ATTTCAGTGGATTAATTTTTATAGCTGGAAACATTCATCTGAATAATTTCCTGGTTTAATCTTATTTGGTCTCCAAATTACCCTTAAACAAATCATTGCCTACCTTCAAGTTTAGTTCAAAACACACAAAGTTTAGATCTTAACATCAAACTTTAATATTAGACTCTATTTGTATGCATAGGAGAGTTCCTTGACAGTAAATTTTAAGTGATGCCAATTTATCTGCAGAATGTTTCCTGGTTTAGAACATTTTCCTTAACATTTCCACCCAAAAACAACTGCAAAACAGGTAGACTTTTATAACTCCCTGTCTTCTGATTTAATAAACACGCATTGAATATTTTGGTATGCAATCTTTACGAAATCGTGCCCAGGTTGTATAATTTGAAGTACGTGACGAAGTATAGAATATCTCGTTGACATATTGCTTGTGGCATTTACTGTTTACTGTGTCGAATGATCGAATAAGATTCGTGGATTTTATTTATTTATTTTTTTTTTGTGAGGAAAAAGTTCTGGAAAGTTTTATTCGATTACGGTTTTGACTAATCCGGATGAAATATATCGACTGCAAGTTAAAAATAATTCCAGCTTAAAATAGCAATAGCGATAAACATAACAGCTTCGCGTTGTAAAGATATCAGATCTTTAAAGTGATAATATGTATGCATGTAAGTATCTGCCCAAATAGGTTTCAATATCGACTTTAAAACACCAAAAGGAAAAAAATCAATAAAAGTGAACGATCAATATAGTGATTAAAAACCACAAAGACTGTCTTAATCACATTGTGCTTTCATATTATAACGTATTTATGGTATTTGCAGATATTGATGAGTATTTTTAAAGGTATTTCAAAATTAAGCTTAATCTAATTTGTTGACTGCTACTTGTTATATATTTACTGCTACCGTTGAAAATATATCTTCATATAAGAAAGGATTATAATCATGTTCCATAAAATACGTATATTGATGATGTTAAAAACATATAAAGTAGTCAGTTTGTATTAAAAAATACAATATTAAATTTATCAAAGTACTTTGGATATACAAAAAAATATTTTCATCAAGTTGAAAATAAAGAAAGATATTAACAATAATTTTACTATTAATTAACTAATACTATTATTTAACAATTATTTATTAACAATTTTATTTTTTGTACAACAATTAAAAGAATTACTTTTGGTACATTTTTTAATTTTGTTAAATCAGATTTACAGAAATGGGGTAAGTAAAATAATGGAAGGAAATTTTAATGTGTGAAGTACACGGGATGTGATAACTTGATTACTAACACATACATATATACTACTGTGTCCAAACAGTAAGCCCAATTTTCAATTTAAAGTCCCAGGGCTTATGGAATTTTAATTTTTCTTTTTTAGGTTGCTGGTACTGTCCTTGACATCTGTATGAAATTGGACGCCAAAATATTCATTAGTGTTTGAGTTACGCTACAACTGATTCCGGCTACAACTGATTCCGGCGATTTTTGAAATGTCTGCATTAATTGAGCTAAGAACTTGCATGAAATTTTGTTTGCGGAAACGTATAAAATGTTGCAGAAGGTATTCGACGAGCATTTCCATATCGGAAAGAAATGTTTAGAAGTGGTATAAACAGTTACAAAGAGCCCCCTGGTCGACCATTAACTTGAACCGACAGCTCACGTCCACGTCCAAAAAATTAAAGATTTGGTGCTTGCAAACCATCGATTTACAAGAGACCTTGCTGATGATGTAGGAATTTCAAAGGATGGGTCCATTCCATTTTGGGCCTCAAACGCGTCAAATCTCGATAGGTACCGAAAACACTGAATGGGCCAGCTCACACTGCATTGATTCTTCGTGACTTTTTTGTCAAAATGAAACTAGGGTGCCACTCCCGGGGACACAGTTTTGAGGATTGAATTCAACGTGAATCGCCGCGCTCTTTGAAGGCCTTCTCTGGCGATGACTTTTTAACATGCATTGAGGATTTGGAAAAAAAAAATTTCTCATAAGTGCATTGTGTTCAAATACGATTAATTTGAAGACGATGAAATAAATTTGGAAGAATAAATAAAGAGTTTTGAAAAAAAAAAATAATTGGTCTTACTTTTTTGGGCAGAGTAGTATACATGCAACAAGTTTTTATATTTCTTAAGGAATGAAACTTGTTTTCAAACAGTCTTGTCAAATCATAATAATAAATATTTTCAACTCTATTCTCTGATAAGAAAAAACAATATAGACTTTTGATTACAAAACAATTACTTGGTAATTGTGTATATTTGCAATCAAACGTCAGATCTCATCATTCTATAGATTGTGTGGTTTCAATCTTTCTTCCACGAAATTCTTTTGTTAGTGAGATGACCGCGAAAAACTCTTTTTTTGTTTTCAGGGGAGAAAATTTTCAATAATATTAGGATAATATATTTAAATACATGGACGTAAATAAAAGTAAATAAATTAACAAAAAATATGTTGGAGTAATAATACATGGTTTTCCCCCTAGGTACTTTATAAAGGGCAAGATGTTTCAATTTTTATTGATAAATACTTAAATTTGAATTCATTAACTGTTTATCTTGAATTAAGAATTGTTATTTTATAAAAAAAAAAAATCAGTTTGCTATTTCAATAGAAATAGCAGTTATTATTATTATCACGGATATTATTTATTTTTATTATTATCACTGATATATTAATCATCATTTATTATTATTATTATTATAACGGATGCAATCAATTTATATTAGGAATTCCTTGTTTACATTCATACATGAAACGTTATATATAGCTCATCAAAAATACTGATTTTTTTCTCTTCTCAGTTCTGCTCAATTCACTCAACCAAAACCAAAGATCCTTGGTTCAGTTTTTTTGGTTTAAAGGTAATTTTTTTGCCTTAACTGATCTCCTCAAAGTTATGATTGCTTGATTATCAATTGGCTAGTTGATCTTTGGTACTACAGGCTTTAGGTTTGAAATCCTGGCGGTGGCATGGATGTTTTGTTAGGGGTTCGAGAGAAATACACATTAAACTGTAAATCCTGGTTTAATTAGCCCAAAGTGTACACAAAATGATAGTAGAGTTGCAAACGAAATAAACCTCCAAAGTTATAATAACTTAAATAAGCATTGCTCTAGTGGTGAGGAAATGGTAGTGCCTACAAACAAGCATTGTTAATGAGTGCAGAGAAATAGGATTACTTATTTTTAATATTCCTTTCAAGAGTATTCTGAGGGAGAAAAAATGTGTCAAAAAAGGCAGTGAGCGGTAAAATTATTTCTGAATTACGTAGCTATGTTAATGTAATACTTTAAAATAATGTCGGAAAATAAGAATTGTTGATTTCGATAAAAATTTTATTAATGGGGGGAAAGGAATGTGACGTGTATATATAAAAATTGAAAAGTTATTGAAAAGATAAAGAATTATAATAAGAAAGATTTATGAGTTATTAATAAATTTATTTGATATTTCATTTATATTATTACTGTGGTATTTCTTTAAGATAGTAAATTTGTGTTGTAGAGAAATTTTAATGTGAGAAAAATCTATCTTAAGTATGTAAATAAAACATTAAATTTATAACATGTAATAGCAATATTTATAGAGTTCTATAAAGCCCTTTTAAACTGTAATAGTAATATTTATTGTGTTCTTTTTTTACTATACAACAATCTTTAATAACTGTAACACTGTTGTTCTTTTCGACTGTCAGGATTTTAACCTGATATCATTTGCCACTAAAATGGTAGAAATGTTTAAATTCAGCATTATAAAGAATGCACGACAGAGATCTGCTATACTTTTATCCATATCACGCATTGTCTTCACAATTTTGAAAACCTCAAAGATCGTGCTTTACACAACAAAGCACTCCGCCTGGAACCCAATAAGACAATAAGGCAATTTATTTAATTGGCCAAAGCCAATTTATTGTACTATATGTCATAAAACACGCCGAACTGTAACATTAAGGCTATTAATAACCAAAATATTAATAATAATCACCAAATTTTTACAAAAGTAAATAAGCAAAGTAAAGCAATATATTAAAAGAATCGCTTGGAATAGTGCACTTATCCCATTGAGAAAACAACTTCCATAGACACTAATCGTAACCAAACAATTACAAAAAAATGGTTATTGTAATCTTGATTTTCATCTTCCAGTACTCAAAAGCTACCATGTCTATATTGATGATTTTGTCTGCTCCTATACGATTATAAAGTAACAATGTTATGTATCCTTGCTTTTAAAATAATAAAAAAAAGTTATTGATGATTGTGGCAAAAAATATCTAGCACACAACAACAGAACCACCTGATTAGAATTATCAAAAATTTTTAATACAACTTGAAATATTGGAGTGACTACTAAAAAGTCCTCAAAGAAAGCAGTCTTTTTTTTCTCAAAACCAATAAAGTATCAAGTTGAAATCCAAATGAGTAGTAAATTAGGCTTCAGCAAATTTACTGTCAATAGAAAATTTATGTTTTTCATCTATATTGAACCCAAATTCTTTTTTTTTTTTTTTTTTTTTTTTTTTTTTTGTTATTCTTTTTATTAAATGAACCTATTAATCAAGAAGTTGTAACCATCACCAATAACCATCACCTACTTCAATGGTAGCGTGGCCGAGCGGTCTAAGGCGCTGGTTTAAGTCACCAGTCTCTTTGGAGGCCTGGATTTGTGAAATGCATAATGTATTAATTAAATATTTACTTTAAAAAGTCCAAATATAGTTTCGTTTTCGTCGTTATTTTTGTTCATATACTCACGTATCTATCGTACATCTAATTGGATTTATAAAAATCTGTATGCTCTATTGCATAAATAGAAAAGCATGGTAGAAATTATAAATAATATTATGATGGAAGAAACATTTATCAACTTCCTTCCGAGAAGAAACTAAAAGGTTGTATCTCGCCTATGTCGAGGACAACTTCTTATCTAATATCCTAATTCTGATTTCAGCGTGAAACTGTAACTACAAACAGCGGTAGCGTGAAGCCGAGGAGCGGTCCTAAGGCGCTGGTTTTAAGGCACCAGTCTCTTCCGGAGGCGTGGGTTCGAATCCCACCGCTGCCAAGAATTTTTTTAACAGTTGATAATTTGTTTTCCATTTTCTCTTAAAAAATTTTTATTTTTAAAACATCATTTGATCTATATTTCATTATCTGAAATTATTTCCAAATAAATTTCCGATTTTCCAATAAATTTTAAATACTTCGCTGGTGTTGGTGTTGGGTTTGATAATACGTATTTCAGACTACGCTCAACAACGATAACACGTGTCACCAAATATTTGTTCAACATTTTTCCTTGGGCATTTTCCGATTTTAGTAAAATTTTTCTTAACTATTTCATCCAAATTTGAAAATTGATAGTTTTACTACAGCTGGCAAATCCGAAAGATATTCACATGTATAAAATTAAAACAAAATTTAAATTAAAGAAAATGATATTAGAACTTTATAATAATTAAAAAAAAAAAATTTTACGAAATGCGTAATATATTAATTAACATATTTACTTTTAAAAATACAAATACTTTCGTTTGTCATAATACACTAAATGGTGCATCTAAGTGATTTAACACAAAAAAATTGTAAATAATTTTTCATAAATAAAAAAAATCACGGTCTAAAATATAAATTAAAAAAAATTTATTATTGTGATATTACAATTAATTAAAAAACCACTTTACAATGATTTTTAAGGAATTTTTGTGAAATGTATTATATATTTATTAATATATTGACTAAGTACAAACACTTTCGTTTGTCATATAGTTTATTTCGTTTCGTTTGTCTAAATGGTACATCTAATTGGTTTTAAAACAAAAAAATTTGTATGCTCTGTTTCATAAATGGAAAATCATGATAGAAATTATAAATAATATTATAATGAAAGAAACATTTATCCCAAGTTTCCTTCAAATCAGAAACTACAAGTTGTATCTCGCCCATGTCGAGGACAACTCTTATCTATCCTAATTCCTGATTTCATTGTTAAACTGCTAAATCCAAACAACGGTAGCGTGGCCGAAAGCGGTCTAAGGCGCTGGTTTAAGGCACCAGTCTCTTTGGAGGCGTGGGTTCGAATCCCACCGCTGCCTGAGATTTTTTTAGTTTCCTAAACCTTATTTAAATATAAAGGAGGTATTTTACTTTTCTACCACAAATCCATAAATAGTTGAAATTCTTTTAAAAGCAATAGTTATAAAATAGTGCTATAAAAATAATTTTATTTTTCAACTTGAGTTAGACTTGAAGACACAAGAAATAATTACATATGATCGCATTCCATTAATAATAACCTTAAATATTCGGAGTATCTTGAAATATTTATTTGTTGTTATAAATAATATATTTTTAAGATAAAGATTATATTTTTGTATTTATTTTTAATCTGCCTGACTACCAATGCAAAGACATTTGCACGAGCTGTCTGAATTGCCATTTGCTGCCAACTCATTCTTGAAAACAGCGATTACAACTGATTTGAACACTCTTCCTCACTATATATGCATGTTACCACTGATCCAAGAATAGAATGTGATGATCTTGTGATGATATTAGGGATGAGCTTGTGATGGGATTAGTGATGATATTTTGTCTCAGGAGAGCTCATTTTAAAAGCCCAGGAAGGAGAATATTAGGAATT